TTCATTTTGTAATGATATCTTTAATTCTCTAATTTTGGTGAATATTTTTGTAATTTTTGGTAAAAAGTGATATTTTCGACTTCTTGTTGAAACCCGCAAGTCCAATTGCTTTGATATTACATATATAGGTACTACATGTGGACCTCTCTCAGATTTGTTCATTTTGTAATGATATCTTTAATTCTCTAATTTCGGTGAATATTTTTGTAATTTTTGGTAAAAAGTGATATTTTCGACTTCTTGTTGAAAACCGCAAGTCCAATTGCTTTGATATTACATATATACGTACTACATGTGGACCTCTCTCAGATTTGTTCATTTCATAATGATATCTTTAATTCTCTAATTTTGATGAATATTTTTGTAATTTTTGGTAAAAAGTGATATTTTCGACTTCTTGTTGAAAACCGCAAGTCCAATTGCTTTGATATATTATACATATAGGTACTACATGTGGACCTCTCTCAGATTTGTTCATTTTCTAATGATATCTTCTGTTCTTTAATTGCCATGTGCATTGCTAACAGCGGAGCTATCTCAGCCGACAGGCTGCTTGTTTTTTTATGCGATATCTTGGACATGCTCTGTCAGTTTTCATTCAAATTTGGCACATACATGTACTTTATACATGTTAGGATGCTTGTCCATGACAATTTCTTTCAAAATCTGGTGAAGGATGGCCGATGGACAGCCATCTGACTTTTTGGCCTTACTACTATATTTACACAATTTATGTACCATTTTCATTCGAATTTGGCACATACATCATACATATCATTGTGTTTCATAATCAGATCAAAGATGGCCGAATAACGGCTGTTTTTATTTTTGGCCATATTACTACTACACGGAACACGTGTTTTGATGTAAATAAACAATCTGTTGTATACGCCACTTGGAACTCCAGTTTCAAGGACACGCTCGCGACAACCCCTCCGCTTTAATATGACGAGCACAAAGAGAACTTTCAAAAATTTAACGGGGACTGTGTCATTTTCAGTGATAATTCTAAGTTAAAATGGAGCATTCTATGGCTTCCTTGGGGCCAAAATTACTATTATACAGGTCACAGTTGAAGACTGTGCCCACATGTGATCCCTGGTCAATCAGAATTTTATGGTTGCCAGAGGATTTGCTCCGTACCCCAGGGTAAGGGGCGTATGGCCGTGGCATTAGGTGCTGCGCCTCTGTTCCCTTGTTTAAAAAAATCACTGTTATCAAATCTGATAAAAATCTGCTGGCTTCCTGAAAGCACTATTACTGTATTGTCGGCCAATTAGCTGACTATATTGCAGGTTAGTTGTACGAAATTAACTTGCAGCCATAGTAATCTGAATCAGTTACATAGAGTCAGATACTTCACTGGGATAAAGTGCCCTCTAGTGGTCAGTCATGTAACACTTTTTTTTTGCAAGGATTACAAGCTGTAGACAAATATAATTTAAAAGTTGTAAAAATGAGCAGGTAACTATGGTAACATACGCTGGTGAGTACAAAATTCAAAACAAGCCACATGAGTAATTACCAGGGTATACATGGCTTTCTTTGACTCATCAGAACAAGTTAACATGTTCATGGCTAACTACACATGTCATTCTGTGATTCATTTGTTTAGAACAGTCTGTTCTCAAAAACCTTCAATCAGATGTATTTAAATACAAAATGATTGAAAGTTAAAAAAAATGTTTCAAATTTCAAAGAGGAAGTTTTATGGTTGAGGGAACATGCACTGATAGACATGGTATTCGATCGTGCACAGAAGTATGAATACCACTTTGATAACTGCATATATTTTCATATCTCCTTATTGATTTATCTTGTGCCAATACAAACATGCACTTAATATAATCTGGCTATTCAATACACTTAACAACACTCCAAAGATCGCTTTGCTCATGAAACCATGCTTTTCGTCACTGTCTGGCTCACCAGGTTTCACTTGACATATATTGCAGGTACCGGAGAAGGAACCAGTGCGATTCACATAACCGGCTCGAAAGGAGTCCAGATTGGTAACCAAAATGTCATGTATGTTGGTAGTAAAGAATCTGAACAGAAACCTAACATGCAAAGGTCTAAACAGGAGGAAAAGGCAGTTATCAAAGTTACAAGTAAGTATTATATTTAACTCTTCAATTCCACCCCCTTTCTCTTTCAGTAACTTGTACTAGGTTGGTGGAGTGCATATAACACTTATAGGGAATGCAGGTAACACTTATGGGGAATGCATATAACACTTATGGGGAATGCATATAACACTTATGGGGAATGCATATAACTCTTATGGGGAATGCATATAACTCTTATGGGGAATGCATATAACTCTTATGGGGAATGCAGGTAACACCTATGGGAAATGCCAGTAACACTTATGGGGAATGCAGGTAACACCTATGGGGAATGCAGGTAACACTTATGGGGAATGCAGGTAACACATATGAGGAATGCCAGTAACACCTATGGGGAATACAGGTAACACCTATGGGGAATACAGGTAACACCTATGGGGAATACAGGTAACACCTATGGGGAATACAGGCAACACCTATAGGGAATACAGGCAACACCTATGGGAAATGCCAGTAACACTTATGGGGAATGCAGGTAACACCAATGGGGAATGCAGGTAACACCTATGAGGAATGCCAGTAACACCTATGGGGAATACAGGTAACACCTATGGGGAATACAGGTAACACCTATGGGGAATACAGGTAACACCTATGGGGAATACAGGTAACACCTATGGGGAATACAGGTAACACCTATGGGGAATACAGGTAACACCTATGGGGAATACAGGTAACACCTATGGGAAATGCCAGTAACACCTATGGGGAATGCAGGTAACACATATGGGGAATAAAGGTAACACCTATGAGGAATGCCAGTAACGCCTATGGGGAATGCAGGTAACACCTATGGGGAATACAGGTAACACCTATGGGGAATGCAGGTAACACCTATGGGGAATGCAGGTAACACCTATGGGAATACAGGTAACACCTATGTGGAATACAGGTAACACTTATGGGGAATACAGGTAACACTTATGGGGAATACAGGTAACACATATGGGGAATGCCAGTAACACCTATGGGGAATGCAGGCAACACCTATGGGGAATGCAGGCAACACCTATGGGGAATGCAGGCAACACCTATGGGGAATGCAGGTAACACTTTAATATGGGGAATGCAGGTAACACCTATGGGGAATGCAGGTAACCCTTATGGGGAATAAAAGTAACACCTATGGGGAATAAAGGTAATATCTATGAGGAATGCAGGTAACACTTATGGGAATGCAGGGACACATGGGGAATGCAGGAACACATGTGGGGAATGCAGGTAACA